GGCTGCCCTGGCCTCCGCGGTGGACCCCACTCCAGCGCTGCTCCCCGCAGGCCCCGAGCTGGCTGCTGTCCTGGGCCTGGCCCTGGGCCTGGGCCTGCTGGCCCCTGTAGCTGCCGCACTGGTCCTGCTCCTGCACTACATCTTCTGGAGGCCGCCCGCCGCCCCCGCTTTTTTCCGGAGGCCGAGGCCGAGGCCCTCACATCCGCCCTCTCCTCTGCCCAGGAGGCCACAGCTGCCGGAAGCCCATCCAGGAGGAGCACTCGGACGCCCACTCCACGCTGGCCAAGCTCTGAGCACGTCCCTGGGGCGGCTGCGCCCCCCCCACCAGGCCAGGTGGTGGGGTATCCCCAGGCGCAGGCCGCCCCCCATGGTACACATCACCCCCTCGCTGTCACCTCATCCCCCGTCACCCCTGTGCCCGGCTCCCAGGGCCTGTTCCTGCTCCGCACCATTCTCGGTGCTTCTGGGCCCGCACCTGGGCCGCTATGTATGCCGTGCATACTCCCCACCCAGGTGGTAACCCCAATAAACGCTGCTGGCAAATGTGGGTCTCTGTCTGGGTGCCTGTGGCTGGGACTGGCATTTCTGGGGCCTGGGACCTGGCCACCCTGGCTGGCGGCCTCTGAGGCCGGGGTGTGGGAGGGGCTCTGGTGAACCAGCCCAGTACCTGTGGGGGACTGGCAGTCAGACATCGAGATCCTAAATGAGGGCGAGGGGCCCGCGGCCCCAGTGCAAGGGGTGGGGCTGGGGTCCTGGCGAGTCCCAAAGGGCTCAGGTGGCATCTGCTCCTCCGAGAGCCCCTGTCCTCTCCTCCTCCTCCTGGCCCCGCAGACCACGCCTGCGGCCTGAGTGTGTGGGGACCCGCACCCCTCCCACCCCAGGGCCACGCCACCCAGGTCCTCGTGGGGCCACACTCCCAGTCCTGCAGGAGGGAAGCGAGTGCTGGGGGGATGGAGTGGAAGGTCCCCAAGGGGAGCCCAGGCCTCCACGGGCGGCGGTGGATGGAGATGGTTCAGAGGGACCGCTGGCAGCACTCGGCCAGCACTTGGGCAGGCAGTGGGCACGGGCTATACCGCCCACCCCTGTGGCCCCTCGGCAGCGTCCTGGGGGTGCAGGCGCCCCCCTCAGCGTCCCTCCTGTGTGCCCCGCCTCCGCTGAACTGGAGGCAGAACGTGACAGGAAGCCGGGATCCGGCTGTGGAAACACTGAGGTGAGCGAGACCACAAGCCGCGGCGGGAGGTGGGCCGACCGTCGCATCGGAAACACGTAGGAGCTGCCGAGAGGGAATCGGAAGGGAAACGCCCCAGTGCCTGTGGGGGGCGTGGAGGCCAGACCTGCAGGGGGCCCCCCGGGGAGCCCTTGGCAGAGACCCGCTCAGGGACACCCGCTCGGCCCCGTGGCCCCCTCCCTC